TAGTGGATCCACTTAGTAGTTCAGGTCCTATGCTGATGGCAAGGTATAGAATGGTCCTTGGCAGCGTGAGGTAAAGTGTTGTATCATCACTATAGTTCTTAAGTGATGGTTGTCGGTTAGAGAAACTCCCATATAAATTATATTATTTTCTTTTATGAGAAAAGTTGAGTTTGTTATTGCATTTTGGTTAACGAACTGAGTTGTTTTACTGTTTTATAAAGCTTTCCATATATTGCATGTGTATTGTTGCTTTATATGGAGCTGAGTATCCAGAGTTGAGTATCCAAAGTTGAGTACCCAGAGTCGAATATCATATCCTTGAGTTGAGTATCATATCCTTGAGTTGAGTATCTTATCCTTGAGTACTTCTGAGTTGAGTAAGTTTGAGTAGTTTTGAGTAGTTTAGAGTATTCCTTGAGTTGAGTAAGATTGAAAAGAGGTAAGTATGTTTCCTTCTTATCAAGTTTCAAGCTTATGTTATGCTTTATAATTCCTCTTACATGCTCGTACATTCCACGTACTGAGCCATTTGGCCTGTATCTTCTCATGATGCAGACATAGGTATTTAGGATCATCAACAGGAGCTTCGTTGATGCATCCGAGAGTTTGAGTTAGCTATGGTGAGCCTCCTTGCTTCCGGAGGATTTCATTTACTTTTCAGTTCAGTTAGGATGTCGTGGGTCTTGTCCCGACTTTCATCGTTATCAGTTAGATGCTTCATAGATAGACAGTATAGTTGAGAAGTCGGTATCATTTATTTTATTAAATGTTTTAAAGACTTAAGTTGCCTATTTTATGGCGAGTTGAATAATTTATTTTTATTCGGTTTTCCTTTGAGTTAAAGCTTGTGTTTTAGTTTCATGAATTTTATTTAATTTTTAAGCTTTTGTATGCTTGAATCAGTTTTCCGCTTGTAGTCAGCTAGGATGAGGGTTCGCTTGGGGACCAACAATGGTTCTCGAGTGTCGGCCACGTCCAAGGTGTAGGCTCGGGGCGTGACAATAAACTCAAGGAAGAATCTATTTTTATAAACTCAAGGAAGACTCAACTACTTTGCTAGAATACAAAAATAATACAAATTTCCCTCGTAAACCGATACTACAAGACATTTATAAAGTACTTGTTACTATTAGGCATTTGATTTGAAAGTAAGATTAAGTTATTTCCAGAAAGCTTCTTTACCACTAAATCAAGACTTTGACCATATTTTGGATTCAAATAAGTAAATAACTGAATAATACACTATTTGCCGTAGCTTCAAAAACTTCCCGCCTGCCTAGCTATAGAATAAATCTAAAAGAAAACTCTAACTCTGACTTTTTCAAACATACTTCTGAAGCTATTGTATCATCATAAGTTATTTACATACCTCCATAAGTGCTTAACTATTTTACTGTTATTTTTTCGTCAGTAAGAATCTTACACTTTGAAAATGCATACTAAGTTGCAACTATCATGCTAGAACTCTTATCATAAAGGACATATTGTGTTGACAATTTTGAACATGCTCTTCTCCTAATCATCTACTTTCAAGTTGTCCTTAACTTGGTTATATAGTGGATAGATTTGCTGAAGCCAACTCATTAAAAAGTGAAGGCTACATGTGTCCCTACACTGGTAAGATTATGTCCCTGGAACACAAAATTCCTTTTTAGTTGTGTTTTTGATCTTTTTAAAATTGAGAAATTGGATAAAGTATCATCTTTAGTGTGGTTTCTATATCTGTAATGTTTAACCTCAAAAAATAAATTAACCAAGTTCCTATGCTAGATGATCATCTAGTGAATCCTCATAAAGCACAGTTAGGTGATACAATTTCGAAGAAGATAGTATATTAATTAATTGCCTAATTTACGCTCCCAATCAAGATTACTACTGCCTATGGAAAATAGATTAAATGCTATTCTAAGATCTTTTCATGAGATGGTACCTTTAGGCTTTAACCAAACCAATAAACAGCAAAGTCAAAAGTTGAAGGAAAAATATGTGGTCGCTAAGGCACACGAACTCTAAGGATTGAAACCAATGCTTAGCCAACAAACGTTTCTTTTGTCTACTTCCACTTCAAGGAACTGACAGAAACTCCAGTAGTGACTCATCCCTTCAAAGGTAAGTTTCATATGTTATCTCCATTCTTTTCTTTCTCTTAAGTACTTGTCTTATGCCCCTAGTATCAAAAGATTTGTTTTCCCTTTCCACATTTACAGTGTGAAAAGATGTAATACTTCCTCGAGATTTAAAATATAAACATCTCGAGAAAAAATCAGGGCATTGACTCAATATCTTGAAACAGAGATTAAATAAAGATTTATGAAACAATAGAAGATTCAACCTTAAGATAAAACAAAAATGAAAACTACAAAGCAAGAACCTAGATTAAATCGACTAAGCGTATAAAGCAATAAATAGAGAAAGAAAAATAAGAAGAGAGGTGATTACCTTTTTGAGGGTAGTGTCTTGGGACGACGAACATAGAAGCTGACTTCTAACACCACCGGCGAGCTCTAGTGAACCCCAACGAACCAAAAGAGATTTTGTAGGCATTTCAGACGGCTGGACTATAGTTTACCAATGGTTTTTATATATATATATACCAGATATTGTGAGGCATAGACAAGGGCAAAACAAAGAATAAATCTTGTCTTTGTTTATTTAAAATACAACAAATGCCAAATTTCATTCAACTATTTCAAGATTTTTCATTCAATTCTCATATTGAGTTGTATACTTCAAGTTAATTATCTAATTGTTGTCATTGTCTTTCTGCTTCTATCAACCAATTAGATTAAGCCCTTCACTCATATATAAATGTGCACTTCTACACTCACTTTTCTCAAGACAAAGGAGAAAGGAACTGATGGAGAATCAAGAGACTTGTAGTAAAAAATGCTACTTGTCACTGATGAAGACGAACAACTTATGAGTAAAATGGAGATTTTCAGAGTAGTCGGGCTTCAATGCAGGTACCGGACACTAGATAGAAAAAAAATATGATGTGATAATGAATTCATCTTCCTCCCTATAAAATATTAGTTGTCATGGTGTTTTTTTTTTTTCTTTTTTCTCGTTGATTGAGAGGAGAAAATTGTGAACATAAACTACCACTAATATGTGTAAAATTAGTAAGCTATCTCAATAAAATTAAAACTATTTCATAATGCTAACAATATTAACTATTTTGTATTTTTTAGAAAACAAATTTGGAAATACAGACATGAAATATATTTCTTTGATGATACTTTCTTTCTCTTGAAAGGAATATTCAAGATAATCTGTTTTTGAATATTCAAGATTATTTGTTTTTCTTTCACATATTACTACCAAATAAAGAACAATCTAATCAAGTATATTTAAAAATTTATAATTGTTAGCTCGTGTCTTTAAAAAAAAAAACTTTCAGAGAAGTTCAAGAACAAATAACTTGTGACAAATATGATTCTAATTACAATCAGATCATATTTTCAAATTATCTTCGTACATATTTTGTTGGTTATATAACAAAAAGTGGAGGGAAAACACTAAAATATGTGTAAAGCTTAATTAACCTAGAATTTCCTATAAATAATTTCTCACCTTATATATCATAGAGTGCCTATATAATTAACTATCTGTTTGTTTATTCTTACAACACTTTGTAGCCATCAAATTGATCTTGACCAAAAATCCTTTCTTAGTTGTTCATTTTTTTATCATCTTACATTATTAATCAATTCATCAGATCTATCAATAAAATAACGAACAAAAAATATTTTACATCATGAAAAATTGAATGATTCGATATGCAATGGTCCAATCCACAAGTAATATTGTCCGTTTTGAGCCTAGGTTCGCACGACTTTAAAACGTGTCACTAGTGGGTAAGACCTGCTTACTTATATACTCAACATCTCTCTTGCGTTTTGCTGACGTGAGACTTCTTATCTTAAGTTGGGGTATCACATACACCGCCTCTATGGACTCCACATCCTCACTGAGGTTTATCCCACCACATGAAATTTGCCTAGACTTAGCACTGAGGTTTACCTTGCCTTATCGAAATTTGCCTAAACTCAGTTGAATTCTAGACCACATCGACAAGACTAACACAAAAATGACTCTGATATAATTTGTAACGGTGTAGCCCATTAGTGATATTATCCGCTAATGTTGAAGTAGTAGTAGTAATTGTTATTGTTGTTGTTATGGTTAAGTGGAAGGTGGTAATAAAGAAGAAGATAATTGTTGTTGCGATGATGATAATGATGGTAATAGTGGAGAATGATGAGATGCTGATGATGGAGAAGCAAGAGAAGGAAGTGATGCTAACAAAAGAAGGAGCGAGAACAACAACGACGACAATAATGATCCAAATTAAAAGGGATGGAAATGGGAGAGGGGAGGAGTGGAAAGAGAAAGGTTTTTGTGTAAATAATATAATTTTAAGATTAATATCACTCAATAATTAAAATTTGTGTTATTTTTTCTTAATCTTAAACTTTTTTATCATCCTTAATTATATTTTCCCAAAAATAAGTGATTTTATTTTGGAACCCCAGGATAACCCGCAGCCGCTATAACCTCTGTTATAGCTTTTGCCCTTTGGGTGAGCACTCAGTGGTGAGCACTTTGTGCGCACTGGGTAAACTCCTCACTGTGTAATAACCTGCAAACCACACAGGAGATGTAAACCGCACTAGACAAGTCCTATGCAACAGGCTCGACTCAGAAGACATTGAGGGGGGATCGATCTCGGGTCATTCGTGTGAATAACCACCCTCCAAATCAACTGAGTCATCCCGGAGGATAAAAAAATTGATTTTGAAAGATAAGAAAACAACAAAGTAATTAATTGACTAATTTGACTACCGACCAAAAATACCTCTTTTTTCTTGGGGCTCAACCACCCCCACCCCCACCCCCACTCCCGGAAAACTCCAGAAACCGCTTTCATTGACCCTTTTCCATCTTCCACACTTCCTTCTACCCTTTTCTTTCTCCCCAGATCTCTCCTCCTCCCCCCTTCTCTCTCTCCCCACTTTGCTCAATTCTAATTTTGATTTGTTCCTTTTCAGTCGAATCAGATATGAAATTGCCCACTTTTCCCACTCAATTTCTCGTTTCGCTACTTTCTAGGCTTGATCTGTGAAGTTTTGATTTTGGGATTTTTTCTTTATTTCGTAATTTGCTCATTTTCTTGGAAATTGATGATGGGTTCCGAGAGCTTAACGCCGCCGCCGGTGGAGGCGGCGGCAGAGGCCGCGCCACCGCCGAAGAAGCAGGGAATCACGAAGCCTTTGTCTCTTGCTGGGCCCACCGAGGCAGATCTTCAAAGAAATGAAGCATTAGAAAATGTGCAAACTTTTTTTTTTCTTTAGGTTTATGTGATTTGAACTCAATTTTGCCCTTGAATTTGATTTTTTTTTGTTGTTTAGTTTTTGAAGGAATCTGAGTTGTATGAGAGTGAGGAAGAGACAGCAAGGAGAGAAGAGGTGCTGCATCAGATTGATCAGGTAAGTTTTGAAGCTTAGTAGTATTAGCTTAAATAGTTGTAGTTGTTTTACTTTAATTTTGTGGGTACAAGCTTTAGCTTTTTGTATGAGTTGTTATATGTGTTTGGTTTGCAGCTTTATTGTATTATAAATTCAGGGGCTGTGATATATTGGGAATTGAGCAAACAAAAACACTATATGAGAAGCTGGAATATCTTTTTGTTTTGGGTTGGGTTGTTCATTGTTGATTATTAGCCTTCGATTATAGTTTTGGCCTTAGGTGGAGTTGAATAAGTGAAGGACTTTCTTGTTGAACCCTGCAATTTGACAACTTGTTTTTTGAGGGCATGGCTGATAATCACGATGATGTCCATATTTGTTGGTCAGTCTTCATCCTAAAGGGTATGTAAGCATTAGATTGTGTTTCGGGTTATTCATATGTTAGCACTTCAGTTAGTAGGAAGAAGTATGGAATGTTTTAGGGCTTAGTAGGAAGAAGTACCGAAGGAAGTGCAGGAAAGAAAATAGGATGCTTTGGCAGAACATTTAGAGGTTCAGTGGTTGGGATTGAATTCAACTCATAATGTTGTTTGTACTTTAGATGGTGCTGGCAGAATTCAACAAATGGAAAACAGGAACGCTGGAAGACTATAGCTCTTGTCAAGAAGTCAAAGAACAAAATTCTTTCATGTTCAAATTTATTTGATGTTGTACCATAGAATTTGTGTGAGAAGGAAAAAGAAGAAAAAAATCTTATCAGTAATTTAGAGGCATTTATCAAATGATTCTGATAAAAGATGCACCTTTTTTTTTATAGGTGTTATAGATAATACATAGGCCTATGATATTGTCCAACACATGACAAATTGACAGTATTAAACTTGAGAAACACTGTTCAGAAAAATAATTTAACTTGAGAACCTAATGCCTTGTTCCATTTTAGCGCTAATACTTTACTTTCTTATATGATCCATCAAACTTGAAGTGGGGTAATCAATAAGTAGTTTGCGTATTTAAAAACTCACAAAAATAAATAGTTATGGAAGAATTTGGTATAGTAGCTGAAAAAGTTCTGGTATCTGGAATCTCGCGTGGAACTTTTATTTATTTTCACACTAAAACTTATGTGGGTTATCTAGAGAGAAAACATGAGAACTGAAGGGGTTTAGATGAATTTTGTTAAGTTGACGATAGCCTCCTATCACTTACTTTCTTTTGGTGTACCCATGACGTTCCTTGTTGTATAGAGGATTGGGTGTCTTCTATAGAAAATCATGTGTTTTTTGTGGGTACAGTTTCTACTTTTTTGGTATACTTCTTGTATGTGGGTGTGTTTTGGCCCAAACATTAGTGAAAGATTTTTACTTTATAAAAGAAAAAATGGTTTTATCAGTATTCTAATTGGAAAAGAGGCATGGTGTTGCAAAGATGGTTATTAAAAAAATGATGCGTCAATGGAAGGATCACTGAATAGAGGAACATGCTGCTGGAATGACTGAGGGAAAGAGTTGTGTGCCACATTGAAAATAAGAGTGGTTCTGCTACTTATCAGAGGAAGAAAGTCTCGTGCTGCCCCCCCCCCCCCTCCCCCCAAAAAAAACAACAGAGAATTCCACATGGTGATTCTTATTTGAAATATGAGCCGCTAATCTCTTTTCCATTTTGAATAAGTTTACCCCTATGAATCTGGTGCATACTAGTCTTTTTGTTTGTTAGAAACATACATTACCTAAAAGAATTCATACTATAGGTCATAGTGACTTTCTGTTTTGTGAATAGCTAAGTTGTGGCCTGCACACCTATGATTTGTAAATATACGACGACATATTTGGTGAATTCCCATAAGTGGGTTTGGGAGGGTAAGATGTATGCAAACCTGAAGCCTACCTTTGTGGGGTAGAAAGGTTGTTTCATATATACCCTCAGGCCTCGTCTTAAAAGAAGTGTAATCAGAACAAAACAAAAAGGAAATTTTTAAATTTTTATCTTCTTTGCCCCCAAGCCCTAGCTCAAGTGGCAAAAGGTGGAGGATTTGTGGTTTAGGTCGTAGGTTCAAGCCCCACACCATGCAAAGCGAAGCCTGGTATTTAAGTGGAGAAGGGTAGAGGGGTGGGCCCATTATCCACCGAGTTTAGAAGGCTGTGATTGGTCCAAAGGGCGGGTCACAGACGGATTTCTCGATTTTCAAAAAAAAAAAGAGGAGATAATGACCACAAGAATAGCAAGATAAACAAAAAAGTAATAGGGTAGTAGTAAAAACAGAGAATAAGATACTTGCAAATACTCCTCCATTCACTTTTATTTGCCCACTTTGGACTTTGCAAGCTCCTTAAGAAACAATGATTGATATGAGGATTTTACCATAATGCCCATATTAATTGATGCATAGTATTAGGTCTTACGTTACCAATTTCAAAAGTAAATAAATTGATGTTTAGTATTAGGTCTTGAAAAGGATTTGGAGATTAAATAATTAATGCTAATAGTAAAACATGAAAAAATTAATTGTCTTCTCTTGGTACGTTAAAAGTGACAAGTAGAAGTGGATATTTTTGGAATAATGGACAAGTAAAGTGAATAGAGGGAATACTAGATAATATTACTAAGTAAGGAGAAGATGAGACAAGGAGACTAGTCCCTTGCCTCTCCCACACAAAAGTACTACAACACTCGGTTACCTACTACCCTTCTATCCTACTCTTCGACCTCCATACCTCTCTATCTAGGGTGATGTCCTCAGTAAGTTGAAGGTGTGCCATATCATGTCTATACTCGTTGGTAACTAATGAAATGTTTAATTACCCTTACCCCCCCCCCCCCCCCAAAAAAAAAAAAAAAAGAAAAAAAAGAGAAGTTTTATAGTGTATCCAAAACTCTTTGTGGGCTCATCATTTTAATTTCTAAAGGAGACTTTGATTCTCCAAAATCTTTCGTATGAATGGGGTTCTTAATTTTTCTTAAGGTCATTTTTCTTCATTGGTATTTTCAATAGGACCAAGACTGTCTATTCATTTATTTAGCCAATACCTGCATTTGAACTCCTTAATCAACATCAAATTAAACCACCTCTTTCCATAGTGTTTTCTAGCTCCTTATTTGCATGAAAATACAATATCGAAGTTAAGTCATTACTAGAGGAAGCAATTTCACGTAAAGCAATAGGCAATACAGAACTATTAAAATAAAGAAAAATATAGTTGAGGGGGGTATTAGGCCATTTGCCAAGAGACATGGGCTACTTAACTCACTATCAAAGTTATTGAGGCTTTAATACAAGTTGAGGAGCTTTTAGATGAGCTTAAAAAAAGAAGAGCTTTTAGATGATAACTTAACACAACGCAATAACATCTTGTTTGGATGGTTGTTACCCATTATATTATTAGTTTAAATACAATATTTCTTTGATTGTTTTTTATATTTTATTGTATCGTATCGTTAAATATATCGTTAGGTAATGATGAAAAGTTCATTTTGTGTAAAGATCGAGTTTGTGTGATTGCGTTGTTACCTTAATTTTTTCTTTAGTTGTTATTTAATACTTCCGATTTTATCATTACCCATCTTCTTATTGTATCTCTACACTTATTCATTTTTATTCTAAGTTTATCCTTCAAATTGTTGATGTGTGATTATGTAACGACGGATAACAATACAATCCATCCAAAAGTTGTATTCATTAAACAATACAGTACATACAATATGATACATTATGAAGCAATACGGGGCAACTATCCAAACAGAGTGTAAGTTTAATTTAGTTGGATTCGGTCACTAATAATAAGAGTGGTGCCTACTGGTTCACATGTACCATTTAGAAAAATAAAATAGTGAAATTATGAAAATATAGAAAACTATAGGCAACGAGGAAGCTATTAGCTATTAACTAACTATCAAGAATATTGAAAAGCTTGATAAAAATACTATCAGTATTTATTATTAGTTTCCATTACTCTATTTTAGTATGTTGTGTATTGTGTTATGATTATTGCACTATTTTTCTTTTGCCCGGTAGATTTTGCATTGTTTCCTTGTGACTCAATATATTTTCTTCTTTGTATCCGGAGTTGCTACATATAAATTGAGGGTCTTTGGAAACAACCTCTCTACCTTCATGAGGTAGTGGTAAGGTCTGCATACATTCTACCCTCCATACCCCACTTATGGAATTCCATTGGGTATGTTGTTGTTGTTGTTTTAGATGAGACTGATAAATATGGTAGATTTAAGTTTTTAAGTTAGATGTCCCACATTAAGCAAATATTACTATATGAATATTATGTTTGAAACAATAAAATACACGTGTCGTAGGTTGATCAAATCATGAATAAAATGTCCTTTTTTGTTCTTTTTTCTTTTTATATGATATCAAAGCAAATGAAGGCCTTGGGTTTGACTCTTACCACTACCCATCAACCTAACAAGAAAGAGAGGAACTTCTTGTGAGAGGACGTGTTTAGATTACTTGGGGTTGTAACAAGTTAAAAGATTGAACACACGGCAAGATATCTTGGTGGCGGCTAGAAATAAGTCATTTCTCTTCACTCTCCAACAACATGCCTCCATAATATTTTTAGAACGTCTGACCAAGTGCTCTTCGCGCAACTATAGTATATACAAGTAGAAACATATTTTCGTCTGCATCAATTGCAACAACAATTAATAATTAGAGTTTTTGGCCGAAATCATCCTTAAACTATGCTACATACTTAGGTTACATCCTTAAAATATCATTCTTAGCAGAAAACATCCTTCAAAAAGTTAACAATTTTCATCCTTCTACTTGAATTTGTCAGAAAACTAATAGATCCCACAAAAATCAAGTCACTCTTTCGAGTTCATTATTCTGAGATACGGCAAAAATATTATGGTGAACATTTTTGACAATTGAGTATAGCATTATGCAAAATCTTTTAATTTGACAAATATATTTTTATTTATTTATTGTTCATGTGATTTAATATTAAAAAAGTTATTAGTTGAAATATGTTTTTTATCAATTGAATATACTAGAAGTGATGTTTGTTGGAGACTTCCGCTTCTATAATCGAGATTGAAACTCGAATGCGAGACATAATTAGAATTTTGATCACTTCAATATCAAAATGCCCCGAAAAATTATTGATCTAAATACAATTTAGTTTGAAAAAGGTGAATATAATTAAGCTCCAGCTTCTTTCCGTTGGTAAATGAGAAAAAGAGCAGATCATGTATCCTCACACCTTCCTAACATATTTTGTTTCAATAAGCAATTGTGTCCAAGATTTTTAATATATTTTTTTCAGGAGCCTTTTAGAAAACTTTTGTTGATAGTCATGTGAATTGCTCATGTTTTTGTAGGATCCCTTAGTTTTTTTGGCAATATCTAACAAAAGGATGAAAATTGTTAACTTTTAAATACTTGGACGATGTTTTCTACCAAAAAGATATTTTAAGGATGTAGTTTAAGTTTGAGGTCTAGTTTAAGGATGCTTTTGGCCAAAAATTTCTAATAATTATGTATCATACATGCCATAAAAATGAGTTCTGTCAATTGAAATGACGGGCCTTTAACTTTTGAAATCATAATGGGATAATACACTCCCATGTCCATACTTGCAAAACATAGAATCAAGAATTTTTATTATCATAATAAAACTTAGTACATAGCACAAAAAAATAAAAAATTCACATACCTGCACTAAAGAAAGAAATTCGCGAATATCACTTAAAGAGGCAATCCATAAACAGTAGTATAAGTACAATAGCACAACTGCTCCCCAATCTTGTGTTGAGTACACTGGGTTGGAGTTGTTTCAGTTTGTGTTTTTGGCATGATACGAGGAGACAGTCGGCAGAGTAATATCTATGTGTCTGAAAAAGTTGCCCATGAAATATTTCCATCTTTGGTGAAGGTTTCTCAAGCATCTTTAGACAGAAAAGTATGCATATTCTAGTATGACCAGTTTATATTTGGTCATAACTATTGCACATTGTAAGAAGCTTTATTTGCTTTAAATTCTACTATGTTGTACATATTCAGCACTAAGATTTTGTAATATAGAAGTTTTTGCTTACTGAATACTGATATATGAAGTGCATTCTAGTAAGAAGTTTTTAGTTGGTGCTAGTTTGTCTCTGTTATATCTAGCTTGTTATCATGTGTGGTTTATTTTAATCAAACCCAATAAGCCCAAGAAGGACAAGAACAAGATGATGAGCCCTGAGGTCAATGGCAAAGGATTTGTATGACTTTGGATTACAACAACATACCCAGTGAAATCCTGACATTTCTGATAGCACCCTGCCATCGTTCTCACTGTTATCAATTGCAAAAAGGATTTGTTTCAATTCATTGTCATGACCAATGTATAGGAGGGTAAACTAAAGCCTTCTATCTTTCTGATTTCTCCATTCAGCATTCAAGTTTGTTCTCTTTGTGTCGCCAATGGCCATGCAGAAGTTCTCCTTTCTGTTTCCACTTCCGGATAGAGCATGTCGGCTGGATCTTCTATAATTTTGTAACTTAGCATCTTTAGAATCTCTGTTTTGGCTGCATTGCTTGCTCTTCTTTTTGGAAGATATGCCATTTATATTTCCACTAAATTAAGTTCAAAAGTCCTACTCATTGAGATCCAGCTTCCATCAGCATGCATATATAGGTGGAGAACTCCGTACTCTAATCAGTTCACTTCCATCTTCTCACCCGTTCCCCCCCACCCCTCTCCATATTTTGGTAAGTCTGATAACAAAAGAGTACCAAAAGGCTTTATTACTCTGGAGCATCATACACATAAACCATTATTGTTTTTTCTACTGAATTAGTATCACTTGCTTATACTAGTTGAATTGATAAACAAGAATTGCTTATACTAGCTCATAAGTAGGAATTAAGTCGTATCAGAAGTATAATGAGGGTTCCCTTACTAATTTATGAGCTTGCATGCAGAGAAAGTAAGATGCACAAGCCAAGAATTATGTTGTGCTGGTATGCAATTTGCCAAGCTGGGGCAAAGAATGCCTTCCGACAGTACCACATTAGGAGAAAGCCTCTCCCCAGTGAAAGGAGCTTTACTGTTGGCTAGACTTTTTTCTTCTCATTATGTTTGAAGCACCTCAAATATAGAATGATATGCATAAAAAAATGGGGAACTCTTTTGTTGATAGTAATAATTGATCTAAGTTTTTGGACCTTCCACCTTTGTTGTAACATATTCTTCTGCGGAGCTAAGTTCCAAATATGGAAGGAGCTGTTTCCTCGACTTCGCCACATAGCCACTCCTTTTTTTTATTTTTTTATTTTTATAATGTTTGTATTTTTGGTGAGCTTGCACTCACCTCAACTATTCCACTAGTTGCTACCTCCCACTATCAAAGGTCTAGCATAGGGTATTGGGTAACACTACCCACCAAGGTCTAGGTAGATGGGAGGAAATTAACTAGTATTTTTTGTAGTTTGTACTACCTGGTGAGTTCTTTTCTACTTTGTTCCTTTTAATAGCCACATAACTTTCTTGGTAAGGAATAGGAAATATCCCTCCTATTACATGAAAATCCAGTCGGGAAAAGTCAAATGCTTTTCATGGATTGTCGCATACAGAAAATGCCTTCTGATAATCTTTATTAGAGGCATGATTCTATGCTACAGATGCGCTCTATAAAGAGGATTTGGAAAATGTGAATCATTCGATCCCCCAGTGTAAATTCACTAAGTCAGATGTGTCATCTTCTCTTCAATATTTGAGGATTAATTGGTGTGTGCCAGAGGACAGTGTGGATTTTCTTCTTTGGCATAAATTGGATATGCACAAACTTTCTAGGGCTTGCTATTGTATTTGGATTGAATGACCAATTAATATTGAGTTGTCTTGACATCATGTGGAAATTTTAATTTTGAGCTGTCTATCTAGAAAAAAGTTTGAGTTGTCTTGGCATCAGATGAAATCAACTGAAGTGCTTGATGGTTCTATTGGTCAGATGCTATTTGATTGTGAAGAAGTTTTAATGACTGGTAAATTGTGGTGTAGATTGTAAAATCATGGGTGAAACAATTGACTCGCCAGAGAGGCTACACTGATCAAATGGTGGAGGATGCAAATGCTATGATATTCACTTTTGGTTCTTATCGGTTAGGAGTAAGTAACATTTCAGCTCTTCACTTGATTTTTTTCAGTATTTTGTTCTTTGTGAAGTGACATTAAATATTTGCTTATTTATGCATCATTCATAAACGAGTCCGGAGCCAAAAGGGCAACAAAATTCAGTTAAGAACCAAAAGGGCAACATTTTAACTCCCCAATTAACGCTGTTGGAATCAGGTCAAACTGGGTAAGGCTCAAATTTCTATGCGCCTTGTAAGGCGCACCGCTGTTAGCGTCTTGTAAGACGCACGGCGGCTGCGCCTTACAAGGCGCATACAATTTGAGCCTTCCTTATAATTTTAAAAAAAGTTTTTTCATCACTTTTTAAATTTGGAAGTTTAAAAAAGAAAAAACTTTTTTTCATTGCTTTTTTTTTTTTTTGGAGGTTAAATTTTAAAAAAAATGTTTTTTCTTTGCTTTTTTTTTTTGGAAGTCAAAATTAAAAAAAAAAAACGTTTTTCATTGCTTTTTTTTTTTTGGAAGTTTACATGTAAGTTTTTTATTAAAATTTTAAACGTATTTTTTAAAAAAATTTCACTTCCAAAAAAAAGCAATGAAAAAATGTTTTTTTTTTTTAAATTTTAACTTCCATAAAATGAAAAAAACCTTTTTTCTTTTAAAATTTCAACTTCCAAAAAAAAAAGCAATGAAAATGCATTTTTTTTTAAAAATTTAACTTCCAAAATTATAAAGCAATGAAAAAAACTTTTCAATTTTTAACTATAAGGAAGGCTCAAATTGTATGTGCCTTATAAGGCATAGCCGCCGCGTCTTACAAGACGCTGACAGCGGTGCGCCTTACAAGGCGCAGAGAAATTTGAGTCTTACCCAATTTGACCTGATTCCAACGGCATTAATTTGGGCGTTAAAATGTTGCCCTTTTGGGATTTTTGACAAATTTGTTTTGCCCTTATGGCTCTAGACTCATTCATAAACTATATGAGAGTAACCTGAGAAATAAGGATTCTTGAGGTTTGGATAATTGGGTGATCAGATGATTGGAAATAAAGATAAACATACGTAGGTACTAGGTGCTAAAGTTGCAGCTAATAGGTCTTTCTTTGGTTTCAATTCCAAGTTCTTCAATATGAGTAGTAGAAATCACATGTTTGGCATCTTGTTAAGTTGTTATTAAGCTACATATAGATTCATGTATCTAAAGAAATGCAATCACCTTCTGTGATTTATTTTGAAGTTCTATATTTATTGTTTTTATTAATCCACTATTTCATTGTTGATGGTCACAACCTCATGTGCTTATGCAGGTTCATGGACCTGGAGCTGACATAGATACATTGTGTGTTGGTCCCTCTTATGTCAATCGTGATGTGAGTTCCTCCCATTTACTGGTCAAAACTTTGCACAGTCTGATGATTAATCGTAATCATTTATGAAATTTGTTCTCTTCTTTTCTCTGCAGGAAGATTTTTTTATCATTCTGCATGATATTTTGGCTGAAAAGGAAGAAGTTAGTGAACTCCAACCAGTTCCTGATGCTCATGTCCCAGTTATGAAATTCAAATTTCAAGGAATATCTGTTGATCTCCTTTATGCAAGTATATCTCTCTTAGTTGTCCCTGAAGTAAGTTGGATTATATCCTTTACCTATCAGGTTATACCTACGAATTGTAGAATTAAAGTCTCTACTGTTGTAACTTATTCATCGAGAATCAGTCATTTTTGTTTCATTTGATCAATGTGGATAGATAACAGCTTCTTCATTACAGTCTTGCTTATATGTTTACTTTGTCTGCCTTAATTCACATCCGTCCAAGCTGAAGAGTTCATGTATTAGTTGAATTATTACTAAATGAGAGTTGTGTGATGAATTGCATTTAATTTGGTCTTGTGATTGTATGTTAACAGGATTTAGATATCTCAGATCAATCTGTACTCTACAATGTTGATGAACCAACTGTTCGAAGTCTCAATGGGTGCCGGGTTGCTGATCAAATATTGAAACTAGTTCCTAATGCTGAGGTAAACCTACTTTCCCCTTGTGTTATGGTGTCTATAAATGGCAACTAAATTTCCATATTGATTTTCTCAAAATCTTGCAGCACTTCCGCACAACTCTTAGATGTCTAAAGTTTTGGGCAAAAAGGCGCGGTGTTTATTCCAATGTGAGTTCTTATTCCCTCAATGTCCTTACTGGTTTGTCTATACTCTATAGTATTCATAAGCTGATCCGTTTGTGAGCATGATTTTCTGCTTTCCCCTTCTTCATTCTTTTTTTATTCAGGTTACCGGATTCCTTGGCGGTGTGAATTGGGCTCTTTTGGTTGCTCGCATTTGCCAATTTTATCCTAATGCACTCCCCAGTATGCTTGTTTCTAGGTTCTTCAGAGTTTATACACAATGGCGTTGGCCAAATCCAGTGATGCTATGCCCAATAGAAGAGGATGAACTTGGTTTTCTTGTTTGGGATCCTCGCAAGAATCCAAAGGACCGAACCCATCATATGCCAATTATTACTCCTGCTTACCCTTGCATGAACTCTAGCTACAATGTCTCCCCAAGTACTCTTCGAGTAATGATGGACCAATTTCAGTTTGGTAACAAGATTTGTGAGGTATAACATAAAAGTTCAGTGTTGTTTTCTTCCTTTTTCACTCTACTGACGCATTTTGATTGGTAGTTTTGCTGTTTTCACTTGGTTCTGTCATCCAGGAGGTAGAGTTGAATAAAGCACAGTGGGCCGCGCTTTTTAAGCATTATCTTTTCTTTGAGGTCTACAAAAACTATCTGCAGGTTGACATTGTAGCAGCAGATAATGATGATTTGCTAGCTTGGAAAGGCTGGGTGGAATCCCGGCTTAGGCAACTAACACTAAAGGTGAGAATTGTAAGCACTAACGAAAGAAATTGGCTTATTAGGGGAATCTTAGTAGTCCAGTTTGTTTGTTGGTTACCTGAACTAGGTGAAATTTCGATTCCCTATCTTGTAGTCCCTTCACCATTTCCACCTTCCCCCCTCTCCCATATATATATATAAATTTAATTAGCACTAATGGAAAAGAAAAGAATTCTGGGAGGGGATAATCTAATTCAGTTGTCATGAGAATGATATATTTTATTTTATTTTATTCTGTTGATGAGAATTGTTAGTACTAAAGGGAAAAGAAAGAATTCTGCTTGGGAAAAAAATCTAATTTACTTGTCATGATTCTATCGCTGGAACTCATGCTTATCCTTTGATGCATTTCAGATAGAGCGGGACACGAACGGGATGTTGCAGTGCCATCCGTATCCTAATGAATTTGTAGACTTATCTAAGCCATGTCCACATTGTGCTTTTTTTTATGGGCTTGCAGAGGAAACAGGGTGTCAAAGTACAAGAAGGGCAACAATTTGATATTCGTGGCACAGTTGATGAGTTTAAGCAAGACGTAAGCATGTATGCTTATTGGAGACCAGGCATGGATATCTATGTATCTCATGTTCGGAGGAAGCAAATTCCTCCATTTGTCTTTCCAGACGGGTATAAGAGACCAAGGCAACCTCGGAATACAAGTCATAGTACTCCAGAGAAAGTTGCTAAAGGCTGCATGTCTCCTGAAGAAAGGCAGCCAAAGAGGAAACAGGAGACTGAAACAGTTAATGTAAATTTGGGCAAGCCAGGGAAACGTGCTTCTATCAGTCCGCAGAGGATCGGATCTGTTTCTCCTCTAGGTAGTTCTTGCAGATCTGATGGATCATCACAGATAATCATTTCTGATGAGTCACAGAGGGAGTTTGAGAGTTCTTGCCTAATGGACAGTTCTGATGATAGATCATTACATAGGATATTGCGCAGCAGAAGTGATGCCTCTCCGAGTGACAGTTCCATTTGTACACCTGATAGTTTAAACTATACAACGTCAAGGGGTTCCATCTTATTAGGAGTTTCCAGAGAAGTTGATTTAGATAGTTCTAACACAAAATCCTTCCCAAGCAAGGAGGTGCCCGGTCCGTGTGAAGACATATGCACTAGAGACGTCCAAACTTTTCAAGTCTTGCAGAATGATGAGAAGGGGGAGATTTTGGGATCACTTCATCAGGATATTGTTGGGCAGCTCAATGAACCATGCATTCAGACTGGTTGTGCAGAAAGTCTCGAAAGAGTGCCTGTATCAAATTCCAACATTCACAACCTCACTTGCGAGGTGAGTCTCTCTGTTTGCGTGTTTCGGCTCTTGAATTGTAGCTGATGACAGTGATTTATGGAAGTGTTGAAGTTAGTGAGAGCTAAGAGTCCTTTCAGGGTGATATAAGCTTGGCCGATCGGATTTCACAACTTGGGGATGGATGTCTAAGTGGGAATGGAGAATTGGGTAATGGCTTTGCCGAGATGTCACAGGTGGAGTGCAAAAGTTTTTGTCCATTTTTACCAATTTCTCATCAAAGCTTATACATCTAACATCATATATGAGTTCCCATTATTTTCTTTTCAAAGCAAGTTCCCATTATTACTGTTCACATGCCTATTTTCTGGTGTTCAAGCTCATTTTCTTTTTGTTGGGTTATTGTGACCATTGAAGAGCTGGGCATATCATCAGTTGTGTATTGGAAAATTCATGAACCTGGTTTCTTTGATTGCAAGTGCGTCATGACTTGTGCCAATCTTGAAAAAACAAGAGTTGGGCAGTATGTCATGATCTTGGATTATGATTGGACATTACTCGGCTCCTTGAAAAACAATCTTTTTCATTTCTCTTTTCTCTTTTAAAAATCATTTCTATTTAAGTTTGATTGGCTTACTCAGCAAGTCTCTGACCAATACATGGTGGTGTTCACGATTAGATTTCTACTTCCCCAATTAGCCATGAACAATATACACGTCTTGCTAAGCCTTCTTCTGCATCTGGCTTTATATTTGGTATTTTTAGGATGGAGGACTTGCTCATTGTTTATTTTCCTTTTTCTAGCCAAACCTCTCTCTCGCAAGGGCAATGGAACCCCAGGATGGGACAAACTCAGAGGCTGTGCAGGAGGCTGCAATAAGGCATGTGTTTCTGAGAACCTGTGTTTTATGATTTGATAGGTTATGTTATCTTTATGCTTTCTTGCTTTGTTCCTGTCGTGGTTTCTCCCTAGCAGGTTGAGCCTGGAATCAACAGCTTGATTTTGGGTAGACATTCCAAAGATTAGTGTGTTTCGAAGCTTGTGCGGTTGTGAAAATGCCTGTTGAAAGATGATATAGTTGAGATGTTTGGATTAGTTTCCAAACTCACATTTTAAAGTGAGAAGATGTTGCAGATTATGGTGTGTGTGGATTTGTCTTCAAGACCCCAATTTGGAGTTGGATGAAGGAGTTTTAGAGATGAGAATTCGTGCCTTTCTAACCCCCCCTCTCTCCCCTCCCTCAAAATGCAAAAATTAAAAAAACTTAAAGTATAAAAATGATGAGGAAAAGGAGCTGTGAAGTTAAACCAATGTCTTGCTTATTGTTGCAGTCAAGAGCCGGCGTCGAGATGAGACCTTGAGTACAGTCGTGGATCTTATCTGCTTCATTTGTTAAGAACCTTGGTAGATGATGTGGAAAACAAATAGCATGTGGATGTTTGTTTAAAGAAGCAGGATAGTGGCTACATTTTCTTTTGAGGCTCTAGAAAAGACTTGCTTTGTATTGTGATGTTACTAAGCTTATTGTTCTGAGATGGTACGACTTTCTGTAGTAAATATCCGATATATTTGTAGTATGCATGTCATATATATCCTATCCCTCTGTAGGTTTCTCTTTTCAGACGTTTTCTGGAGTTTATGTGTTCTTCCCATCCAGATGGTATGTATTCCCAGACCTAAATATCTCCCCAAAATGCATATAGCTAAGTAAAATGCAACTTGCACCTGAAGTGCAGGATACCTGATTTTGTATTATTATTATTTAAGTCATACCCACCGGGCGTAAACAATAAGTCTTCATGTCGGAGCAACTTCCGACATGTGATGTCTGAAGTTAGGCTTGACGAAGCTGAACTTCAATCTTGTTTGATTGATCAGGTATATATGATTGCAGTTGAAAACAACAACTTACTCTATGAAATCTCACTACCTCGGGAAGGTAAATATGTTGTTTTTGAACAGATGCAACGAAGAAAATATAGCAAGCAGTGCTAATATCAAAAACAAGAATTAAATATAACTAGTACAATGACAAACATCAACCACTCTAAACAAAACAACATTATATTATTACCTACAAACAAATGTTTTTTCTTTGTGTTTGCTTAAAATCTTACCTACAAACAAATGTTTTTTCTGTGTTTGGTTAAATAGGATTTGTTTTCCTTTTCCCAATAGGACAACCAGTAGTAGTATATATATATAATTTCCAGGGATTTAATCTGTGTTGGATTATAGCAAGTACACTATTTCAAAGTCTTGTTATAAAAGACTACCATCTCTACAAATCAAATTTTATTTAAGTAGTTCTTACAGGAATATGATTCTTTAACTAACCTAACAACTATATATGACAAGAGGTCTAATTAAATTAATCATGTGATTTAAGCAAGAGATTGTCAAGAATGTGCTGAATTTATATATGTTTATAGATATTTTAGTTATGTGAAGTTGTAAATAATAATCAAACACTGTATTTACTATAATTGGCTCTAACAAAAAAACAACTACTATAATTGGCTATTAAAAGCTACCTAACATGAAATTAACTATGTTAATTTTAATATATCAATAATTTCCTTCCTAATCGGTAACCAAAGTAACCCCCCTTGGGGGTCATTTGGTAGCAGAGGTATAAACAAATTAATAATATAAAGATTAGTTATAAGTGAACTTATGTATTATTTTATGCAGATATTAACTATGCAAAGATTAGCTATTCATGTATTAATTATTTCAACTATTATCCTACATAAAATAATGTATAGATTCATGCATAACTTATACATGTATTAGTTATGCGTGTTTTTAAATTGTAAAAGAGTTGGCATTTTCTTTGTTTTGCACGTTAATCTTCTCATGAGGATCATGTCATGTGGACCCTTATGAAGACTTATTTTTAAAATATGGTCTCAGTCGTGCAAAATTACAACTCTTAAAAACGTTGAACTTTAAACTCTTTACAACAAAAAAATTAAATGCAAGAAAAAAAAAACTCAATATTTATTGATAGACCTCTCAAGTACAAGAATGTGCCTCAAATAATAAATAAGGGGAAAACTAAAAATAAAATAAAAAAATCTAGAATGTGTTTGGTATGGAAGGAAATTTATTCCTCAAATAAGTGATTTTTTTTATAAGTAAAAAATATTATCTTAAATATATTTATATAAAACTTAGGCAAGCACGACAAGGGTGGAGTAGAAAATTTGTTTTCTAAAATAAAATTGTTCTCCAAAACATTTGATCAATCAAACATTATAAAATATTTTTGAAAAATATTTTCCTTTGTATCAGATACACCTCTAGAGTAAGTTTCATTTCGAATGCCAATTAGGATTTTCAATAAGGGTGTGTTTAATATGAAGGGAAATATTTTTTTGAAATTTTTTCATATTTATTTGACTAAAATATTTTCTCGAGAAAAACAAGTTCTTCAAAAAATAGAAAAATGATTTCACTAATAAAAATAGCAAAAACAAATTTTACAAGTGATATTTCAAGTTCAATGTCTCTTCTTTCCACCCGCTCAACACCTCCAACCCCCAACCCTGCCATACCCCACTCTACCCTATTGTGTTTTGTCAAATCATATATAAATATTTTGGAGATAAAATTTTTTACTTGTCAAATATAAATTTAAAAAATCCACATATTGTTCATGGTGAAATTCACCTTAATTAATCGCTATTAGTTTTCCTCTTGTTGTTCTATTCGGTATTCAGACTTTTTTCCTTGTCAAAATAAATAAGATAAAATATTTCAAAGCGTTTTATATATCTTTAGAAATATTCCCATATAAACTGAAATTGCGTCAAGATTATTGCAACAAAATATTAATGTAGTGTTAACTTTTCTAGTTCAAACCATCTATGAAAGACCCTTTATACCAAAATTTATAAATATTTAAAAATGGATCCGATGCTAAATTATTAAGTAAGATATTATATTTTATATTTTATATTTATATTTATTAGAAAAGAGAGAGAAAAACAAAGCATTTGTTCAAAGTCAATAGTCAATACCAACTCCATAAGCCATCATATACACACATTTCTTATGGCATGATTACTTTTATATATATATATATTTACAGGTTAATCCATCGGGGTTACTAAGAGGATAGAGAACTAACCATTTACTAAGAATAAATCAAAGAGTGAACATAGTAACGAAAATCATAATAGCATATCATAATAATATGAACATCATATCATATATACACACATAATAACATAGTACATACACTTAGGGAGAAGATTACTAGGATCTAGAAAACAGATAACTACTTACATGATAATGGTCGGAATGAGGTTTCCCTTTCGGGAGTCCCCGAAGTGACCTTGCAGGTACTTGTAGGAAAATAAACACTCACACTCTTTGTACAAACACAACAAACACTTACTCACTTTTTATTTTGAAAGGGAAGGGGAATATGTAAACTATTACTTAGAAATATTTAAGCTTTTGCTCTTTGCTCTGCACTTCGCTCTATCTCTTTTCTTGTAATATGGTTCTATTTATAGAAGTCCATCCGGATTTGAAATTCGGATTTCAATTTCTAAAAACTTTCTTCACCTGCCGGGTGCTCTTTGGGCCCCATCGTCACATGGCTTTGTGAAACCTTTGTTGAAATTGAGTGTCCTTCTTTGTCTTCTTGTGATAGTGGAGTGGTGTCCTTCTTTTGTCTTCTTGTGATAGTGGAGTAGTGGACATGTAGTGGAGTTTCTTTATCATAATGGACTTGTAGTGGAGTCTTGTAGTGGAGTCTTGTAGTTGATGAAGGCTTGTGATGTCACTGCTTACCTATTTGTAGTGGAGTCTTGTAGTTGATGAAGGCTTGTGATGTCACTGCTTACCTATTTGTTTGTCTTCTTGTGTTGATGTTATTGCTACGTATTTCTCTAGGTATCCAGGTTGTGTAGTGTTACAGAATCAAAACTCATCCCTGAATCATTGTCGTCATTTGGATCATAATGTTGATTAAACTGGTCTGATAAATTATTTTCGTCACTGCTACTCTCGTGGTCAGAATTTGCTGGATCTGGCTTTGGATTTTCTCGTATGATTTTTTCTTGTACTTCTTTAGTCTTTTCTGTGAGAAATTTGTAAAGGGAACTTTTTATTATTTTTTCTATCCTTTTTTTTTTTTTTTTGGAGGAAACCTTTTGTCCTTTTACTTGTCTCTGCCATTGTATTGAAGCTTGCCGGCAGAATTCTTACACTTTTTGGTAAAGTGTCAACCATCAACGGATTTGATGAGTCTTTACCCGCTACCGTTTGAACGGGACTAGCTGTACCTTTAGCTGGTACAATAGCTTTTTCTACATTCGTTGGGGAATGTACACCCGTCTTATCCATTTTGTGGGGAGATGAAGAACTCTTATTTTGATCGGTATTTCCAAGTAAAAATCTTATCCTCTCTTGTAATGAGTGGATATGTTGTGTCATTTTCCCTTTTTCTGTTTCTAGTCTTTCGATTGTCTGATTTAGCCTTTTGAATCCTTCCGTCATTGAGGAACAATGATCGCAGAAAATGATTCTGTTTGTGTCTTTCTGAATATTGTATTGCAAAGACGGTCTTGAAATTTGTCTCAAAGCTGGACTGATGAAATAATTAGGCCCGAGAGTTCCTCTAGCATAGTCTAGTGCTTCATTCAAATCATTGAATCCCTTAAAGAGTGGGGTAGGGAAGTCTTTAATTGAATCTACTACTTCTATCCATGTCTGGAACACGCCCTGTAATTTTCCTTGGATTACTACATAAAATCTGAATTTTTTGTCTTCATTTTTGTCTGTAAAATAATGGCTTAATGAATTTACTACGGACACGAAATAACTGTTGTCTCGAGGAATCTTGTTGTATGCTATCCATAGGTTGTCTATTAAGCATCTTTGAGGTCTATCTATCTTCGTTTCTGGCTTCACCCTGAAACTTAGATTGGATGGAGGATAGAAAATTAAATTTTGTTTTCCAAAATATATTCTTTCCATGCTCGTTGTATTTTGTCTTGTTTGTGGTTGAAATGAAGTATTTCCTAAAAGAGTCTGCAACAAGTCTTTGTCTTTTTGCCCACTTGAATTTGAACTAGATGCTCCGTCTTTATCTGTACTCATGCTGAAAACAAACAGTTAGTTTTCATAAGTCTGCTTAGTTGATCTGCTAAAGAATTATCTTTCCCCTTTATATGCTCTAAAGATATATTGTATATTGATGTAGC